AAAGACATAAAGAGAGCAGGCAGAAGCTAATAGAGCCCGTTCCTTAGTGGTCATATTTCCCCGAGGCTTTGGCTGCCGAAGGGTTGATTGATGGATTAGCTCTCTTTCCCGTTTTTGATCGGCAGATGGCAGCACCAATATTGGCCACCACAGAAAGCTAAGCAGAGTCCGCCTAGGAAGTCCTACCAGGACTTTCCAATTCCAGGCAGGAGAATAAAACCAGTCCTCCGAGGCAGCAAAACTCTTCTATTTCATGCACAGATCAGTGGTAGGTTTCAAATTTTTTTACTACCGGTTCTGTGGGTGTGGCTTGGTGGGCGTGGCATAGCTTGATGGGTGTGGCTTGGTGGGTGTGGCAGGGGAAGGATACTGTAAAATCTCCATTCCCACCCCAGTCCAGGGGAAGGTTAATGCAAAATCCCAATTTCCTCCTGATCAGCTGGGACTTGGGAGGCAGAGAATAGATGGGAGCGGTGCCAGTGAAAATTTTTTCTACCAGTTCTCTGAACTACTCAAAATTTCTGCTACTGGTTCTCCAGAACTGGTCAGAACCTGCTGAAACCCACCTCTGGCACAGATGTGTCCATGGTGGTCACCAGGAATCATTTGTCTCAAAAGGAAAGGGTTTTTCTCCACCCTGCGGAGCCAGAAAACAGATCATTCCTCCTGCCATTTCTTACCACAACAACCCTGTGAGGTAGGTTCGGGCTGAAAGAAATTGATTGGCCCAAAATCATCCAGCAAAACCTCTGTGGCTGAAGATGGCCTTGAATCTGGATCTCCCAAGCCTCCCAAATCCTAATCTAACATCTACCCAGGCTCTCCTACTGATCTAATAGTAATCTAACAGGCTGCATATCACCATTTCAATGGTAAAGTCATAGTGACAGGTCAACACTGTCAAAGATGAACGCTGACAGAGCAAGCCACTGTATAAAAAACAAGGAGCAAACCCCACTCCTTTCTAGCACTGATGATGTTGCCTAATTGGGTAATGAAATGTCTGCAAAAAAATAACCAAGGTCAGAGATCCCACAATGGCATAATGCCTGCATCCATGGTCATGGGGAAAATAGCTTAGAAAAAGGAGTGACACTCTCAGCCAGTTGTGGCCACTCTCATGGCCTTTTTGTGATATAGGGGTACCCAGAGGCTGTGGTGAAAAAAAATTAAGAAGGTGGCCTCAAGCATGTGATTGTACCCTATTATGATTGTCCTTGAAATCACTAGTGAGCGAAGGACCACAGAAGTTAGAGAAAGATACAGAGAGTTGTTGTCTCCTCTCCTTTTTTGGGCACGATTTTTCCAGAAATAAAACCTGGGGAAGGGAGCAGGGTGTTAGGGAAGGGTGATTATCCTTTGCTAATCTGCTGGAGTGGCAAATTTATTCAGTCAATTAAAAGAATGACTTTTTTAAAGCCACAGAAGAGGGGAAGAGCCACTTAGGTGTAAAGCTCCTTATCCTTGAATGAAGCTGGCTAGACAATTTACAGTGTATGTTTGGCTGGGTTCTCACCTCACACTAAGCAGGAATATGGTTTGTTTGGTTTGGGCTCCACATGTTGGGTGAGCCTCTATGGATTGGATTAGGGGTTAGATTCATTGTGGTTGTGGATCAGGCCCTAAAAAGTGAGTTTCCATAGGAGCAGATTTGCTTCATTAACCAGAATCACTGTCTCAGTCAACATGCTAAGCACAAACCAGGCAAGACACAGCCTAGCATAGTATTTTTCAACTTTGGGAATTTTAAGAGGGTGGACTTCAATTCCCAGAATTCCCCAGCCAGCATGGCTGACTGAGGAATTCTGGGAATTGAAGTCCACCCATCTTAAAGTTCCAAAGGTTTGAGAAACACAGGCCTAGCACATTAAAAGAAAAAAAGTATTTTGAATTGGGAGCAACCAGCTGTAAAATGAACCAGATTCCTTCAGGTCAAAGGCACTTTTGGCCTGAGATAGGAAGATGACACATAAAATTCCAAGCTAACTGCAAAACACATGTATCTCATCTCCTGAGAAAGACAACACAAATTCAGGACTTCAGGACTTCATCAAGCTTGGCATGGCATGCCAAGGGATGTACTGAGAGTCAGGTGTGTGCGTATGTGTGTGTGTGGGGGGAGGGCGGGTATGACTAAAATGAAAGAAAATGCACTCTTTGCACCAGTGGTGGGTTTCAAAATTTTTTACTACCAGTTCTGTGGGTGTGGCTTGGTGGGTGTGGCATGGTTTGGTGGGCGTGGCAGGGGAAGGATACTGTAAAATCTCCATTCCCTCCTCAATTCAGGGAAAGGTTACTGCAAAATCCCCATTTCCTTCCAATCAGCTGGGACTTTGGAGGCAGAGAATAGGTGGAGGTGGGACCAGTCAGAATTTTTACTACCAGTTCTCTGAACTACTCAAAATTTCCACTACCCGTTCTCCAGAACTGGTCAGAATCTGCTGAAACCCACCTCTGCTTTGCACCCTCCAAATAGCAATGCTGAAAAAGCTGAAAAGAACCCCTCTCCAATAGAGGAGTGTTATTTGTAACTCTCGAGTTCTTGGTGCTCTTTGACTTTGGTGGTTTATCTGCAGACATTTCATTACCAAAGTAGGTAACAAAATCAGTGCAAGTGAGCATGGTTTTTGCTCTCTGTTTATATGCAGAAACTTACTCCCTCACCCCACCCCCACCTCCCCCCCAAAAAACATTCTGCCAGGGCAAGAAATCTGCAGGAACCACTTTGTATTGTGCCTGAGCTGGAAGTGGATATTCAGGCAGACCTCTCTGAGACCAACTGGGTTCCCACCACACCCTGAATCCCACACCAGCCAGCTTTAGTCCAACATGTTGTGTAAACCTCATCCCATTCAGTATGGCTAGTTGAATGAACCAGAAAATTGGGTAGACCATATTGGGGGTAGACCTGCCTAGCAAACCTCATTTTAATGAAGACTTTGAGATTCTGCTGAATTCTGCTAGAGAAATTCCCAAGCTAACATATGTACCATTTAATTCCAAAGAAGAATTTGACTGGCCCAACGGCATGCATTTTCTGACCTGGAGACCCTTCAGTTGTATAGGACTACAACATATCTAGCCTGCTAAAAACTAGAAGCCTGGTATATGACCTCCAAGAGGTAAGTTTTCTGTCTGTCTTTGCTGCCATCCAGTGGTCATCTGGATTTTTACAGCCCACTTCTGGTAGGCCTAAATTCTGTCCCACCCATTGAGAAGGCTGCAACTGAGGAAGATTGGAAAAGAGGAAGCTGTGATTCCTGGATGTGTATTACCATATCAGACCATCTTTGCTGGATAGCATTATTGCCTGTTAGGGAATTAAACAACTCTGGATGAATTCAGGGATTAAAACCAAATTTTGAGGTCAAATTTCAAGTAAAAGAGAGACAGACATACAGACTGGTTTCATAAGGCACAATAACTGTGATCATACCCATATATTCACAGGTCAGTTAAAAACTGCCCAGAATCATTGAGAGTTATGCGGCATAATTTATAAGTTACCATCTTTTAGAAGATGCATTAGTACAACATGTTTAATTGGTGTTAACTTGTCTATAGATATTCCAGTGGTTTAGGGTGGTTGATAAATACATTTTGTTCGGGTATAGTTCAACATCCCCAGGGAATGGGTTAATACAGGAAACAAATTGAGCCTTTTGTGTGAATGCAATTGCTGAGCAGAATTGTATTCAACTGTATTTTAGCTTGTGAAAATCCAACCTTGTGTTTAGTTTAGTGAAAATTTAGAAATTTGGACCTGGTGAACCATGATTGATTTAACCACAATAATTGGGTTGTGAGAAAGAAGACTCCAGAGGTTTAAATTTAGGCTTACCAGAAAGCTACTCTATTGTCCTTCAGCCTTTGCCTCCAACTTATCAAATTAGACTTCCCGACTTGGGTGCCATTTGGATTTGTATAGGAACAGCTGCCACAATCCTGCTTTGTAAAGTGGGAACTGTGGACAGTTCAACAGGTCTAAATAAAGATGTTTGCCCTAGAAAAATGCATTCGAGGGAAACGGGAGACAAAAATCCTTGGTTTGTAGAGCTAAACGCATCCTACACGTGTCCAGAGCATCCCTACGTCTTGCGGGGACCGTCACACCTCCCTAGCTTGGAGATGGTTTTAAAACAGAGGTTAAGTAAATCGGCGGAGAGAATTGCAGGACCCAAGCACGTTCCTTTGCATTTAACCAAGGGGGCTTCACGCCTCTCCCTGTATTGCAGTGTTTCTCAACCTTGGAAGCTTGAAGATGGGTGGACTTCAACTCCCAGAATCCCCCAGCCAGCGTTGCTGGCTGGGGGATTCTGGGACTTGAAGTCCACCCATCTTCAAGCTACCAAGGTTGAGAAACACTGCTGTATTGTATTATCGAGGATGGGGGGGGAAAGGGGGTGAAATAGGAAGAAGACTTCTTTTATTTTTGCATGCAATCAAAACCAGTCCAGGAGTCTTTCAGGAGAAGAAGAATCGGGCAATCTGGCGGGGGAGTGCTCTTAACTCCCTCCCCCCTAGGGACCGCTTCCCACTTTTAGAAACGACAGAGGATCCCAAAAGAGGTTTTTGCCCGCATGGGTTATATTTACCGATATTTGCCGAGTTGAAACCGATGCATTGGCTACCCACCACTTCTCAAGATTATTGGGATTTTTTTAATACTGTGTTATTTTTCAACATAGGCTTGCAAATGATTTTGATTTCGCCGCCCCCTCGCAGGGTCCACAGGGACATCCCCCCCCACCCCAAGAGTCCTAGGAATACACTTTAAGGAGCACAGCCGTGCCCCCCACCCCATCCGGCGTTCCCTGCGGAGTCGTTCAGTCCGGGGCTGTGGATTGACGCCGCGGGACAGCAGAAAGTCGAGGGGGTGGGCGTGGCCTGTGGGCGTGGCCGGCTTCACCGCCGGCCGTCTCATTGGTTGGACTCGAGGCCCGGGGCAGGAAGCGGCGCTGCCCAGCTGAGCTCCCAGATTGAAACTTGCCGTGCGGGAGGCGGTTCGCCCTGCTGCGGTGGGGTCCCGGCAGAGGAAAGACGGGCCGGGGCCCGAAGCCCGAACGTGGAAAAAGCTCTGCCCAGACCAGCCATGCAATACCAGCCGTCGGGGTCGGCCTCTCTGCCCCCTCTCTACGCGCCCACCCCGATGCTGCAGCCGGTGCACCCCACGCCCTTTTACATCGAAGACATCCTGGGCAGGGGGGTGCCGGGGCCGCCTCCCCCCACCTTGCCGTCGCCCAATTCCTCCTTCACCAGCCTGGTGGCTTCCTACCGGACTCCCATCTACGAGCCGACGCCGATCCACCCGGCCTTCTCACACCCCCTGGCTGCAGCCACCTACGGGAGCGGCCCCTACGGCCCTGCGGCCGGGCCGCCCCTCTACCCGTTTCCCCGCGCAGTCGGCGATTACTCGCACGCCCTCCTCCGCCACGATCCCCTGGGTAAGTCTCGCGGCCCGGGGAATAGGAGGAGGGGTTTTTTTTGGGGGGGGGGGAGCCGCCGCCGCCGCCGCCGCCTGGCTCCGGCTGGCCTGCTCCGGGATTAGGGGAAAGGGGAGCGGCGTCCCCCCTCCCACTCCACCGTTTTGGCAGGATCCTGCCGGTTCGCCTGATTCCCGAGACGTCTTTGGCGCTCTGGAATCAGAGCTGATTTATGGGGCGATTCTCAGAGGGTCTTTAAGCCTTTAAATAAAAAAAAAAAGGTGGCCGTATAAAAGAATCCCTCGGGAAGAGTTTTGCTGTGTTTTGAGTAGGAGAAACGAGCAACGCCCAGCCCAGCGGCTCCAGCGGTTTATCACTTTTCACTTTCGCGAATGAAGCGCCGTCTATAATTCCGGACCGATTTAACGGGGGTCGAATAAATAGGGCATCGTCCCAACTCGCGATTTGCGAGGTCGTCTGGAGTGGTTCCAACAGTGGCGGATGGAGGGGTGGGGGTGGGGGGGACAGCGGACGGAAATGGTCCTCTAACCACGGAAACTTCTAACAAGAGTCCGGTCTTGTTGCTGTCTACTAGGAAATTGTGTGCCAGGCTCTGCAGAGATCGCCTTGACATTTGCTTGCCTGTGGCTTCAACCGAGGGATACTACTGCGATCTCTGAGCTGGAGAAACTGCAGACCAACAAGTAGCGAGTCTTTTCAGGAGGTCTGAAGGCGGGTTAACTCGGACTGGTTTTGCTTCCGAACCCTCTCTTCTTCCGAAGGCTTTCCTTAGAAGTCGGTTTAGTTGAATGAGTTGCCGCCGAGCACTTTCCCTATCTGGGTTTCCTCGGAAGCCAGCGTCATTGTGACGATCAATTAAGTTGCGCGCAAAGGTGGAAGGGGGCGAGGGCTCGGGGGTGGCCGTAAATTGTGGGTGCGGTGGACCCGTGTCCCTAGAATTCATTTCTCCCCGGTATTCCCACCCCCAAATTAGGATACAATAATGGGGAACCCCTGGACAAATCGAAAAAGTTCCGAGGAGTGCATTTTATCACTGTTCGTATCTTGAACAACAGCAGCTAAAAACAGCCATCAATCAGATCGTTTAATTACTAAATTTATCTTGCACAGTTCTACAATCCTAGGAAGGATGTGTGTGTGGGGGGGGGCAAGCCATACCTATTGCCCCCGAATCCTGTACATCTCAACCTCTTTCCTTGATAGATATATAGTCTGGCTTTGAAAGGGTATGTGTCTGTGTTTCCACCGTCTTCCCGCCGTTTCCTACGTCCCATTAAATTATAGGATATTCCTACTTTAGTCTACTTTGGTACAGATTCCAACTTAGGTTAACTTAGAAATCAGTGAGTCGGGCAAGGTCAGAAACTTGGCTTAATTGAGAAAAAAGGCGTGCTTCTATTATTTGCGGATAAGCGTGCCTATTGGTAATGGACTACAATGCCCATGCTTTTAAGGATTTCTAGAAATTGGGATTCCAGAACTATTGGGAAAACCCAATCCGGATCTCTACGGATCTTTCGGTCCATCACCCGGCCCGGTTCGACCTCGCGTCTTTGCGAATCGCCGGCTTGGCGTAGGAGTCGGTTCGTGCCGTCTGAGCGAGGTTGGCTGACCCCTTTCCGTTCATACAGGATATCTTGAGCTCTTGATAGGAGCAAATCTGGTTTCAGAAGCTGTAAAGTATTTTCCTGGACGCCCGGAGCTGGCTCGTCTCCGGGAGCCGTGCACGCTGCTGATTATTTTATCGACATCCTCAATACAGACACATTCAGGAAACACTCGGCTTCTGATAGCCCGGATCCGTTTTTCTGATATTGTTCATTTCCTCTGTGTGGGATGGAGCTTTATGACAGCTAAAATAACTCGTTGCTTCCTTTCAAGAAAAGAAAAGAAAAAAAAGAAAAAGGCTGTTTGCACCGAAATTGCTGAATGCCTGACGCAAACAACAATGCTGCATTTTCAAAGGCGCGGAGACAGACAGAAAGCCAAACCGAAGCAGGGGGGGGGGGGCGGGGGGGGGGGGGGGGGGGGAGGCGAGGAGAGACAGACTCTTTGAAACGCGCCCGCTCGGCCTCCTGCCTTCTGGCGCGACCTCGGGATCCCGGACCTGCGTAGTCGGTTCCACCCACTCCAGGGAGACTTCCAAGAGGTGCCGAATTGTCGTTTGTTTCTGCGGCCACCTCAATGTCATTTTCCTCCCAGGAACATCTCAAGAGCTTCAGGCCTCCAAGAAATAAGGAGCGCCCCAAAGGCTACCAAGATTTTTTTTGGGGGGGGGGCACTACAAACGTTCTTGGCTTCCTGGCTGTTTTGGTGCTGGGTTCGAGTCGTAAACACAAATAGCAACCCATCATCGTCCAGACTCCTCAGCCCAGGGGGAATAAGTGCCACTGAAGTGGAAGTGCGTAATTGAAACTGCCCATCCCACTCCTACGGGAGAGAGTCCGCTGAAAAAGAGTGGATTGGGACCTGGAAAGTGGCACCCGATTCCATTCGCCGGATGGGACTGGTTTCTGACTTCTAGACTTCTATACAAATGTGGGAAAAAAAACAGAATGGCTGTTCACGAGACACAGATTAGGCAACCACATTTAGCCCAGGATTTTGGGAAACCCAGATGGGCGATCCATTAATTCAGGGCATCCTGGAAACCGCAACATTGTGTTGAGTGAATGGAGGTCAAGTTAATCAGAAGTGGGGTTTCCAGGGAATCTAAGCTCCGAAGACGTCTGCCTCGGGATTTCGGGGTTTTCTGAAGTTGTTTCCTGATTGTTCTCCCTTGCGGATTTAGTTTGAGAATAGTAATCTCCGTTTCCCTGAGAAGGCAGAAGCTCTCTTCAGAATAAACTCCACGTAAGCAACATAGGGGGAATGGCTGTTTCATATACAGAAAATGTGTGAATTCCCCCTATGGTAGAAGTGTGGGATTGTGGCTCATCTCAAAATTTATCGGGGCATGGGAACCTAAGTCAGCATCTTCTCTTTCCCAACCTTCCCCAGATTGAAACAGAAGCTGAATAGTAAGGATTTGCTCCCAGGTACCGCTCACTTTTTCACACACTGGTATTTTAGTTACCGGTATTTCTAAAGATAAATAAAACAACAAAGCACATCCATACATTTTAATGGGATTTTGTCCTTAAGTGTGTTTGAGTCCAAGGTTAAAATTTTTCAGCTTGCTTCCTTCTGTCTATTTTGTGTAGTTGAGGAGGATTGATTAACTTGGTTTGTTCTGAACAGAGATAATTTAACCAAGTTTCGTGGTATATCCATATGGGTTTTCTGGAGAAGACATTCTGTGAATTACATCTAATTACACACACATTTCTTTTCCTGAATCGATTTACATTCGCAAAAACAAATAATATATATTAAGTATTTGCAAATATAAAAGGTGGGTCTGAAAGTGTGTATTCTGCCTTTTCATTTGTAATTCCACTCATTGATTTATGTTTATACAAATGATCTATAAAAAGACTGGATATTTTTTGGATACTGAACATTCTGCAACAAATATTATTGCTCTGTATGGTTTTTATTGCTTTGTTGATTTACCTCCTGAATTACATTATTTGGAAATAAATCTCCTCCCTTCCTGTAAACCGGAAAACAAGAGCCCAGCTAATCCAATTCGTTTTTATTTGCATCCATAAGGCTTTCAACAAAGGACACACACTATAATTGTGATGTTTTAACCTGGCATTCAACTCACAAATCTCACAAATTCAAAAATAGATGTAACTGCTGAATAAATTGTGTAACTTTTTGCAGGGACATTTACAAAAATTTTAAGAGAATCGCTGAAGTCTCCACAAGGTTTTGACACAAAAACCAATTGCCAGAGGAAAAGGCGATGGGGAGCGATCCTATGCTTGCCTCTTGAGGCAACCAGCAAAGCGAGAAGGGAGGATATAGGATTGCTGTCTAAAGAGACGGAAAGCAGGAACCAGTTGGATATTCCTGGCGAAATAGCTGTTTCTGTAAGGAAATTAGGCAGTAAAACAGCAACAATGACGTTGCCGCACACTTTAAGTAAGGTCATCTAGAGATACAGTCCACAGGCCCTAAACCGGGTGATTTATAAGGTTCCTGTCCTCATGCGCATTATGGTGAAGTTCTGTGCCAATTCCAGGAAAAAAAAAGCCGTTTTCTTCTTGCCTCTTCGATCTTCGTTTGTCAATATCATTTTAAAAGGACAAAGAAAATATTTTATTTTTTACTTACATATATTGTAGTGGGCCGGTGTGTGGGGGGGAGAGAATAATTTTCAAATTAAAATTCGTTTATTTGGCTAGCGGGACCAAATACAATTAGGAGGGCGATTGTGGATTCCCTCCTCCCTTTTTATAATATAAGTCTAAACGGCGAAGTTTTGATCTCCGGTTTTGAACGGTTCCACGTCACTTGGGGCATAATTACTTTTAGAACTGAATTGGTGATCAGAGGTTTCGATGGCTTGAGTCGAGAGCCTGAAGCCGTCAGGTGGGATGTAAAATCCCTTTGGGGCCATTCGTTTAAAAATGGATCCTCCGGACAAGAGCCGCTAAAGTCTTCAACCAAATCGGGGGCACTACAGAATCTATCCCGGCAGGTTCAAAATCGCTTTCTCCCCTCTTGATGGCTGAGATCATGAAAGGACCCAGCCCCCCACTCCCACCCCGCAAACCCACCTGCTGGTTGATAGAACGAGACCTTATGCATGGGGGATAGACTTCTAGAAAGCTGTTAGCCGCGAGCGCATAACGAAACCTCCATGTTTAGGAGTAGTGTACCTCCGAGGACAAAGAATGAGAATAACTCGACAGAGTTCGGCAGAGGGCGATCAGCAGGCGGGCCTGACCCAAGAGGATCAGGCGCGAGATCTGGATCTGGTCTCTTCTGCGCGGGGAGGAAGCGGGGGCGCAATCTTTGCCTTCCAAATTGATGCCCGGGGTTTGTTTGAAGCCGTATTCGAGCTGCAGGGAGGAAGGCTCGGCTCTTTCTTCTCCTTTTGATGCACCAACAGGAAACACATTGACGGAAATGCTGCCCTCGCCTTCTGCGGCCTGCTTCCAGGATCCTCTGCCCCCCGGCGCACGTCAAAAGGCTGGCCCAAGAGAGAACCGCGCCGACTCGGTCCTGCCGCCCACCCAACTCCCGGCAGATTCGGACAACCAGCTGTCCGTTAAAGTCTAGTAGTCCGTCTGAATAGACAAGCCTGCATCTTAAACGGGTGGACTTCGGATTTTAGGAACTCTGGCTGAGTTGAAACCGATTGCCAGTTTTGTGTGCTGTGGTTTTCGACCCCTTGGACGCAACTGATTTGCATTACAACTCCCACGATCCCTTTCAAAGCTGCCTGATGGAAGCTGAAGCAGGTGGAGGGAAGTAGGTTGGGTCCCCCAATCTATAACAGACAGTCTCCTCCAGACGCCCCTACCCCAACCATAAGTTTAATATTTTTTTATTTTATTTTATTTATTTTGTCAAGCACGTATTAGATAACAGATATAGGTATAAACATGGTTATTAATACATGAAATGGATACGAATAAAAGAGGATATTAGGACAGGGACGGTAGGCACGCTTTGGCCTATTGTGTATCATCCTGTGCGATTTAGCTTCTGTGCGACCTTCACATCATACAGTTGGGTTGAGTACATGATGAGTAAAGTAATGTGGGATTGCGCGAACACACCCTCCTAATACAGATAGTCCTCGATTTACAACAATTCATTTAGTGACTGCTCAAAGTTACAATGGCACTGAAAAAAGTGACTTATTACCGTTTTTCACACTTATAACTGTTGCAGGATCCCCATGGTCACATGATGAAAATTCAGATGCTTGGCAGCTGGTTCATATTTATGACGACTGCAGTGTCCCAGGGTCAAGTGATCAGCTTTTGCGACCTTATGACAAGCAAAGTCAATGGGAAATCCAGATTCACTTAACCACCATGTTACTTATTTAACAAATGCAATGATTCACTTAACAATTGTGGCATGAAAAGTCGTAAAAAAATGGCAAACTCACTTAACAAATGTTTCACTTGGCAACATAAATTTTGGGCTCAATTGTGTTCGTAACTCAAGGGCTACCTGTAGATATTGCCAGAGTGGGGCTAGACATTCACGAAAACACCTGCACTAGGACCGTGGTTGGGCCCAAAGTGACTTTTAGAAAGCGGACTTCCAATTGTAAAGTTTGTTTCTACCAAAATATTGTGGGAATCTGACTGGGAAACAATCTAGGGCAGCAGCAAAATAAGCAATTTCCCTTCCCACAGTTCTGTCTGTAATCTTCAGGTCTCTCGCTTAATGACGCCTGTGGGCATTTAAGGTACTGCTGGTGTACCAATTAAATATACCCATTGAAAAGAAGCTACAAATGGGAAATATTTGCTATCCATCTGCTGAGCTCAGACCAGGCCTTCTTCGGCGCGCAGGTGTTTCTTATGACACACCTATGGACAAGTGAGGATTTTTAATGCTGTTTAAAATGCCTTTGGAAAGAAACCCATCAAGTGAAGAAGAACGATCCAGAGAGGGATGTCTTTGCACTCCATACCATTCTCACCGAGTGATTTAAGAATGAAACGCTGGGCTCTTAGCTGAATGTTTTTTGATATGGGGCGCATTTTATCAATGGCTAGATAACAGGAACAGAAGTTAGAAAGGAGGAGATATAAATGGAGGAAATGGTATAGAGGAAAGTTGTTAAAGATGATGTTAAATGTTAAGTATTATTAATGTTATTATTTTTGTTGTTAGTTGGAAAGTCAAGTCTGACCCATTGTGACCCCATGGACAATGTTCCTCCAGGCCTTCCTGTCTTCTACCATCCTCTGGAATCCATTTAAGCTCACGCCTATTTTTATATTAATATAATAATATTATATTATATTATAAATAATATAATATATTAATTATATTATTATATTATTAATACGATGGTGATGACAATAAAGATGTATAAACATGACTATTTAAACATAACTGTACCCAAAATACACTGTTTGATGAAAATTGAATGTTATATAAATAAAACATGAAAAAAAAAAGGGATGAAACGCTGGGCTCTTAGCCACTTCCTCGACGGTCACGTCGGGAGGGTCCGAAATTGCGGGGGGGGGGGAACCCTTTCCACCCTAAAATGCCTTGCTTTGCAGGGGTAACATGCGGAAGGCTGCCGCTTCCTCCATCTGGGCGGGAGGGAACCGGGACTGCCTCCTTGTTTGTCGGGACCAAAGATCAGTAGAATTACGAACAAGTGTTTCTCCCCCGCCCCCCCTGAGTTTAAGCAAGGGAAGGGTAAGTACTCCGAGTTGGAGAAAGCGGAGGAAAGCCAGCCAGGAAAGCGAGAGTCCGTAGCGGAGAAAGGGAGCTCCTGCCGCCCCTCCCTGGCGGTTCCTAACCCCCACCCCGTTTGGTGTCTCTTGCAGGGAAGCCGCTGCTGTGGAGCCCCTTCATGCAGAGGCCGCTGCACAAGCGGAAAGGAGGCCAAGTGCGCTTTTCCAACGACCAAACCATCGAGCTGGAGAAGAAGTTCGAGACGCAGAAATATCTCTCCCCGCCGGAACGGAAGCGCCTGGCGAAAGTGCTGCAGCTCAGCGAGAGGCAGGTGAGAAGGCCGCCAAAAACGTTTCCCGCCAAAACCGAATTCGGGGGTGGTGGTGAAACGGGCTTCGCCGGCGGAGGCAGCCAAGTTAGTAGAAGGCTCCTTTTCCCGCGAAGAGCCGCCTTTGGTTTGCTTTGCCTTAAGAATGGGGGCTGGTGGAAGTCGCTGGGTCTCCAAAAGCTTGAACCCTTTGGAGGCAACAGGCTCCAAAGTGGGATGCACCAGTTACAGGGCTGCACAATACAGGTAGTCCTCGACTTAACGACCGCGATGGAGCCCAGAATTTATCTTGCTAAGTGAAAAATTTGTTAATGTGAGTTTTGCCCCATTTTAAGACTTTTCTGGCCAAGTTTGTTAAAGCAAATCACTGCTAATATTAAACTAGGAACATGGTGGTTAAGTGAATCTGGCTTCCCCATTGACTTTGCTGGTCAGAAGGTAGCAAAAGGGGATCGGTTGTCAAGCGTCCTAATATAAATCACCTGACCATGGGGATGCTGCAGCGGTCATAAGTGTGAAAAATAGTCATAAGTCACTTTTTTCAGTGCCGTTGTAACTTTGGTCACTAAATGAATTGTTGTAAATCGAGGACTACCGATACAATATCCTGAAGTGTGGGAAAAAAATATGACAATGCCTGATTATATTTTATTTAAAGCAGTGAGTTCTCAAACATTTTGGTCGCTGGGGACCCGTATACGTTCTTAAACTATTGCAGACATTGATTTATGTGGGTTACATCAATCAATATGTACTGTATTAAAACAAATATTTGTTTGACTTTGAGGATCCTTGAAATGGGGTCCCCAGACTATACTTTGAGAACTGCAGATTTAAAGCACATCTAAAGAAAGAAGTTAAGCTGTACAAATAATTTATATTAAGTATAAACAATATGCCAAATATAATGTAATTGGTATGTATGTATATGTTAGTATAGTAATATTTAATTTATAAATAAGCATACATATGTTGAGGTGCGTGCTATTTTTTTTTTTAAACTGATAAGGTGTGAATCAGAAAAATGTGGAGAGGTTCCACTATGGATTACATTCAATCCACAGGTTGTTCATTTGAAAATTAAGTATCAGAAGAATTATTTCCAAATTCCACAAATCCTACCCACTAATCTCCTCTGCAGGCCTCATAAAAGCAAATTGATGTGCGTTTATTATTTGGAACATAGCTGTGCCCTCTCTGTGCAGGATCAATACAGTTAGATGTCTCTGTCATTCTGATAGGCTCTTTTTTTCTTGCTTGAGAAAGTCTCTGAATTTGGGAACAGGAAGGGGATGGGGTAAAGAGACTTTTAAGTGGATGTCATTGCTCTCAAATCTTCCCTTTCAGGGGCCTGAAAAAACAAGACAGTGGCTCCACTTCTCAGGTTGTTAAATACTATAGGCGTGTTTCACTTAACAGGGAGAACTTCCTGTAGACAGGTTAAATCAGAAGTCACATTTGAATTAGGTTCCTTCCTTACTCTGATACTATTAAAAATATCTAGTTTTTGAGTAGGCATTTACAGTATTGCAGTTCCTGATGAGTATCTCAGGCCTATCCATAGCAGATAAGTGTGTATTGGATTGTACTTTTTAGAGGGGTTTTTCCCTCATAATTTTCTCTCATGTAAACTTTTTTCTCCCCCCCCCAATTAGGTTAAAACATGGTTCCAAAACCGGCGAGCAAAATGGAGGCGTTTAAAGCAGGTAAGTGTAATGTTTCCTGCTCCTCAATCTTACTAGCTGTCCCCAGATTCCTGTATTTTAATTAGAGAGATCAGAATCATAGGGAGTGCTTAATTATTTCAGCTTACTTAAGAGGACAAGTGACATTCCGAAACATTACATTTGAAAAGCTCCTGAATCACAGCAACATGTTTGTTTTTACAAAAGTTGTGGCATGTTTAGATATTGTTGACAGTTTCTTGTGCTAAGCGGTACATGCCCTCTGTTCACATGCAGTTATTGAATCCTAATCAAATTAAACTCCTGATGAACACATTTCCTGGGTTCACACATTATCCTCGGCCATGATGTCTTGTTTTAACCATGCATTGATAAGTGAATCATAGTTCACACATTGTGATAAGCTGAAAAATGAACTTTGCAACTAGAAGAGTTATGCACAGATAATGTTTAATCGAAACCAAACCAAGCACATTATACAACATCGGTATGATTTCATTTTGGGATTCACACTTTAATTAAGATGCAGCTTCCTAACTTTGAAACTATATGTCTACTTGATTTCCCATGGAGCAGAACCAACCTAAAATGTAATTTGCCTAATTTTTATGGATTACCTTTCACCCTTTTACCTTTAACAATTCACCTCAGTCATTATTTCCAAATCCCAGTTTGATTTATAGTGCTATAGGTTTCTTAGTGTTTTCTCATACAGATATTAACAGGTCTAATTCTGCTTAGATTTCTGAGCTGAGCCAAGGTCAGGAAGATGTTGCTGACGTCTAGCCTAATGTCTAGCTACTATTTTACCCTAATGTCTAGCTACTATTTTTATTAAAGAGTGAGTGGCTCACTTAATTTTTTATTTTACTCACTATCAAGCGAGTCTAAGCGGATTAAAATCTCATAAATTACAGGGTAACAAATTGGAATGTTAATAACATAGTTAAAACTTAAAACATTAAAATTAACAACAAATTGAATAAAAAGGACTAATATATAAATGGGGTAGAGGTAAGATATTCTCCTAATCTTATAACTGCCTCCAGAATGGGACTGTCCTAAGCCAGTTGGCAGAACTAGGTTTTCAGAAAACTAGATTTCTGTAATGTCCAAAGGAAGCTTGAAATGTCCAATATTTTCCAAACTAGTTGTTTTCTCACCAAATAGTCTTGATTCCATGACTTCTGTGTTTGTTCTCAGGAGACCCCTCAACCCAACAAAAAAGAGTCAGAAAGTGGAGAAAGTCTTCAGACTTCCAAACAAGAAAATTGCTTGAGTCCTGAGATGGATAAGGGAGTTTCTCCACGTAGGCCACAATATACCCCTTCACCTGTCTCCCAAGAAGAGTTGGATTCGGACATCTCAGATGATTCAGATCAAGAGGTGGACATTGAGGGAGACAAAGGCTATTTCAACGGTCCCCATCTGTAGCACTTGAAGATGGACTTTCCCTCTATTTGCACTTTAAGAGGAACTGGCTTGACAAAAACAATCAGTGCTAAAAAAAAGGGGTTTTCTCTTCTCTTTCAGTTGGATGGAGAAAGAGGGAAGGAATAACAAACTCTGTAAATAATTGTCATTGTGTTTGTCGAGACAATCCATTTGATAAAGGAGTAGATCCTTTCATGACTGGAAGGGAATCCTATATTTGCGTTCCTCTATTTGTACTGGGATTGATTTTGTATCCTAGCCCAGAATGCTGCATTCTCCTCCATGAATTTAAACATCAAGATCCTTAGACCACAGGGAGAAAAAAGAACAATTACAACAGGGAACAACACGAAAAAGGAATTTTCTGATGTCTCAAGGAAAATTTTAGTTCTTTGGATGCATCCTTTTGCAGAGATCTCACAAATGTAATAGTATGCAGAATGAAATCAGTTTTGCATGGGTCATAAGAGTATCCTTCATGAAAGTACATATTCCATTAAAATAACCTTTCCTGAGGTATGGAAAATAATGTATGAGACATTTATTAGGTGTGTAGCAAGGTCTTAAATAATACAAATAATAGTAGGAAAATGAAAAGGAACTTTATTTTGGGTTGATTTGAGATATGAACAGTCTAAGGAACTTGATATTGGCCTATACTAACCATGCTCACTAGTCCAAGGTCGGAAGGGAGAAACTATGGTTATACATTCACTTATCATGTTTAGTCATAATATAGATTTTTGGTTTGTAGATCCTAGTTTGTGGTCTGTTTTTTAATCCAACTACTATAGCCTATTCAAGAACCCATGCCTAAAACCATGCCTTTGAATGAATTATGAATCCAGATTGTGTGAAATGATTCTACCTGTGTACAGTATCCTAGAACAAGGAAGAATCCTAAAAAGGCCTTATTCACTAAGATGTTATGTAGTTTGTTTTCTTTTAGCTTAGTGTGATCTATAAGTCAACTATAATGTTGTGTATGATGTAGATCATTAGAGCATGTTCAAAATCCTGGCTGGGTTCCCATTCTTTGTGGCTTAGAATCTTACATTGACACAGCCAGTGTGGTTTATTTAGCAGAGTTTACTTGTTGTATGATTTCAGTAAACAATGGCTAAAGAATACCAGAGACCAACAGATCAGAACGAAGAAGCTTCGTGAATGAGAAGTGAAACATTTTAAAGAAAAAACAAAGTCCAGTTGCCTTTTGAAAAAGCACCTTTGGGACAACTGTGACCTGGATGATTGAGAATCTCCATAAATATTTACCAGATACCTATAGACACTAACTTTGTTTTTTTCAAACTGTTACCCTCCAGATGTGTTGGGCTACAGCTATATCTGTTCCCAAACCACTTCTATAGCCCAATCCATCTGAATGGGAACCAGATTAATGAAGGCTGCAGAGGACAGCACAATGGAAATATTACTATGCACCTCCAAGCAGGTCTTTGTCTTTACAACTAACACTATTACATGTCCATTTAAATATAAGCCCCATTAATTCAGTGGGATTTATGTCCCAGATGTATATAAAATTGAAGGCTATTTTTAAAAATATTCAGTATATATTTCATTTATTTTAATACATTTTTAAAATGTTATATGTATGAGTACATATGTTTATATGTATGCTCTTAAAGATGGAGACTAAAACAAAACTAATGGATTTGGTTACTTGCCCTTTATGTTTTGCTAACTATTTTTATATAAGGATCTGTTGTGTTTAAGTAAAGCTTGCCTACACATTACATTCTGAGAGTCCAGAGAAGCCATGTACGCTAAGAAATGCCTACACAAAAACTTTAATGAGATTGTCTTTCTAAATGTGATAGTCTATTGCCTTTCTTTTGCTTGCACCTATTTGCTCTGCATTTTAAAGAGCCTGGCTCAAAAAGAAGGCATCCTCAATTTAAGCTTTATCTTGCTAACTGCACCCATGAAGGTTCGTAGGTAATCTTACTGAAATAATTTGCCATGCACTTCTTCTGGAACGATTTTTCAACTTCTGCCCAATAGTGATGGATTTCCAACCAGGCCACAAGCAAAATCCTTACCTAGTTGACGATTATGAAACTATCTGATGGATATAAGATGCTGAAAAGAAATTTTCAGCAAATGCATTTAGGGTTTGTCTAATACCAAGTCATACTGTTCAGCCATAAAACATGATCTACAGTATACAGTGGTAATTATGCCAATGAATTCTGGCATCTTGATCTGAGGGGACTGCAAAATGATTGCATATGGCCCTGGAACCAGAGTTTGCTGACTTGGTGAATTGCTTGTACCACGGTTTTTAAAGTATATTTCTATGGCCAAGAAAACCTGCATCCTGAAACTGGCCACCACGTGGTTCATTCCATGTGGGTGGCCTAACACTCTTTTTGTAACTTCTTAATATCTTGAGGTTGCTGAAATATGGCAGAGTAGGAGTTTTCAGTGGTTCAGTTTTCCCTTCCCCAAAATATAGGATGTGAATAAAGTAGGAAGCAAACTTGTATTCATTTTCCCCATTAAAAAGTTCCAATCTATTAAATATTCTGATTAGATTATTTTGCTGCCAAACTTGGGTGACATAGTTTTGAGGAAGTGAGGGTAGCAGAAGCTAGAAACAAGATTTCTAGAGCCATTTTGATCTAGTGGTTAAGATACAGTACCAGGTTACAAAGCAAGAGATTGTGAGTTCAAGCCCAGCCTTAGCCATGAAAGCCAGCATGGATATGTTTGCTGCCTTGAGTTGTTTGTAAAAATAATAAAGACAGGATATAAATAAATGAACAAAAAAATAGAAATAAGAGTACATTGGCTTCCAGAGGTTGCCATTCCTATCCTTATTCCCCCCCCTCCACCAATTGGATAAAAACAGGCCATTCTTTTGTTTCAGGAGGTTTTAAGAGTAAGAATAGTTTGATTTTCAAATTTCTCTGTTCAATATTCCCATCTTTAAACAACCCTCCTAACAATCAAAAAGGGCTGAAAAAAATAATATTGTTACTGGTCAATGTCCTGCAGTCATCCAAAAAGTTGAGCAGCTGAGTGTGTCTCATTGCCCGCTGCTTATTCATGGCTTAACTCAGGAGTACACATCCTCCCTATCCCAAATATTACAGCTGCCTAAACACTGGTAAAAAAATCAGTCTTGTTTTACTGATAGATGAGAATATTTATAGCTCAGGGTTGAACTGTGGGATCCTTGGTGTTCTCTGAGCTTGGTGCTTTTTCTTTCCTAGTTTCATTATCAAATTAAGTAACAACATCAGTGCTAGAAGGGAGTGGGGGGAGGTTGCCTGTTACATGAAAAAAATCTATGTTGTGTCTTTGTACCTGTTGTACAATAAATAAAATCATAGAAGGGGATCTATCATAACCTATTATGCAGAACCAAAGGTATGGGCAAGAAACCAAAGTTACTGTGCACACTGTCATATTCTTCTGCTCTCTGGTAACCCCTATTTATCCGAGGCCATGTGTGTTCAGATTTAGAGTAGCCACAATTGTTGGTCTGCAAGAACTGGAATTGGAAATAAACTTGACATTCTAATTTCTGCAAACCAAGAACGTGTTGATTAATGAAAGATGAATTAAATCTTGCAACTGTGGGCAGTTGCAGGTGGCAAGGGACTTTGTGTGCATCACAATCTTATCAGACAAATGATGCACAAGACATAATTCGCATCATTTGCTCAAAGATGTGCTATCCATGACATCAAGACTTTTGACCACCTGTGCTTTCATCTTAAAGGACCACTTGCAATAGGGAATAATTTTACAATGCATTTACTCTTTTAACTTGCTACAGAAATTTAGTTATATGACCATAGCCAAAGAGTAGGATGATAGATACTGTATTTTTATCCTTCCTGCTGCTATTTTTGTTGTGTAATTGTTTCATTTTTATGTTTAATCACAGAAAATTATAATATTGGAGACTTTTGGATTTACTTGTGAAATAAAACTTGGCCAGTGCCCATCCCAGGCAGTTAGTAATATTGTTTAAATAACCAGCCACATATTTCATGGATTATTTGTAATAGATTACTTCCAAATATATTTAAAAGAAAGTATGTATTACTGTATGTATGTGTAGCACAAATACTAGCACAAGTTTCTGGTCCTCCTAGTTTAACTCCTTATAAGTACTAAAGGTTAGAACACTTTGAAAATTTAGAGATGGCAAACTTTGGGCTCGGTAAATCAACATTCCTCAATTGTGTGTGTGTGTGTGTGTGTGTGCAGTCAAATCATTGTTTTCTTTTGGTGACTGGATGGATTAGTCCCTGCAGTTTTCTCAGGGACTTATTTTAAAAAGTGGTTTGCCCTTGTTTCATTCCTAGGGCAGATAGAAAGTGGCTGGCTCAAAAGTATCCAGATCACTTCATGCAAGGCAGAACTAGAACCCAGCTCTTCCAGTTTCTTCTGGTACTTTTAACCAAACAGGCTCTCTTCCTTAATTCAGCGGTCTTCAAAAACATCTGGACAGACCACAATAGAGATTACAATACAAGAACCTTCTTTAATTTAGCATTTAACATTTCTTTAAGTCCATGTTTTCAAAAGTTTGTAAGAAGACCATTTTTTCCCGAAATACTATTGTATTTGGGAGAAAACCTTAAGAGAGAGGAGACATGCATGACAAATGTTACAATGTGAGAATATTTAACTGGAAATGTACAGGAGGAAGAAACATCCATGGTAGCCTTTGTTGACTTAGTGCCCCACAAAAACGTTAGATAACCAGCTTCCTAATTCCTAGACTCGATGGCAAGGGATTATGGGACTTGCCCTAGATAAGGACATGTACTGTATGAAAAGGTCTCTCAATAATCCTGGTCAGCAATGCACGTCAATTCTGTAGTATAGACCATTTGAAGTTACAATGGCACTGGAAAAAAAAAAGACAACCATCACAACATCCCTATAATTTGTGTACTTGGCAACTAGCAATTATTTATAATGGTTGCAGCATCCCAGGGTCACGTGACCATCATTAGTGACTTTTTCAGCTGGCTTCCAACAAAGTCAATGGGTGAGCCTGGATTCACTTAAGGACTGCCTGATTCACTTAAACAGTTGCAGTGATTCCCTTAACGACCATGGCAAAAAAAAAAGGTCAAAATCAGGTGTGATTCTGTCAAGGAGTTGTGCAGCAAGTGTCCAAATGAAGTCGGAGACACTGACACAAACTTGTCGCTTTATATAAATAAAAATATTTAACGTTTTTATTTACAGCAGACAAGATAGTCAGGAACATCATGAGGTAAATCAAACAACATACAGAGTGCGCAGAAGAAAAAGGCGGGGGAAAAGGGAAACCCCCCCCCCTTTACACCCACAGCAACCAATCACAGCGTAGATTGACTCATGCATGAGCCAGCACTCTCCAATCAATCAACTACAATTGAGTGTTTTGGCCCGTTGTACACTTTACTGTTCCAGCTACTAAATTTAACATTCTAATTTAATTTACTTGATTTCTTTGCTTAGCAATGGAAATTCTGGACCCAATTGACAGAAATCTATGGGATGCATTTCCAAGTGAGGCTATGTAAAGATGCACTCTTGGAATGGATCATATGATTTATGACATCCAACACTCTCACTGTTCATTATTGGGACTGTGCAACCCCAATGTATCATTATACCAGGTTTTTTAATGTATTCAGCCCAGCAAATGAGACAAAACAGCAGTGTACTCCTCTTATGCTTCATGGGTGGCTAAGAGCTCCTATTCCAGGGAGTTCTTGTCTTGCTCACATCTCTGTTTTGAACTTCCAGTATGATGACCTGGTCAAGAGGTGGTTTTAATGCATTTAATTATGCTAACAGTTGACTTTCCACCACTCTGCTTCCTTCAAATTGGGATTCCCCCCTCCAAAATACATGAGGAATAGGAGAGGAGGATTTTTAATCGTTTCTTTTATATTCTGCTTGTGAAAAACGAAAAGATTTTTAGTGGGTTTTTTTTTTTTTTTTGTAGGAACAATATGCCTGTTGCTAAATAAGGGACTCGTTTATCTGCCAGTTTAAAAGGATAGTAAGTGATCATTGATTAGCTGAGAGTTTTATCTGCTCAAATATTAGCCAAAAAGCAGCAAGTACTAATTAGCTGAAAGTTCTCTGCAAGCTCTAGCCCAGGGGTGTCAAACTTGTGTCGTCACGTTGTCGTCACGTGATGTATCAAATGAATTTATTTTGAGATAGCTTCGAAACCTGACATCATGACTTTTTCCCCCTTTGCTAAACTGGGTGTGGGTGTGCTTGTGACGCATCCAGCCCTAGGCTGGGAGTTTGACACCCCTGCTCTAGACTCATAACATAAATACACAGCCATGCTTATATTATTATGATGTTCTATAGGTATAGAAAGAGTCAAAGCAAATTGAATCCATGTTTTAAATTGAAAAAAGTTACAAGATCAACAGTCTGTCCAAACAATTTACTTCCCAGGAATTGGCAAAGCCACATGGGGGCGTGTCCCAACCAGTAGCTTTTGCATAACAAAGCTATTCCATGTTTGCTTCATTTTTATTCAGGATGGTAGGAAATATGGGGAAATCACTAATATAAGAAACTGGCATTCAATTTCCAAGCCAAATTCCATGAATAGGGCAATGCATTTGCACAATAGAAAACCTGTCTGGAAACATCCTCCTCCTCCTCCTTCCTTTCTAATGGGTATTTTTGTAATTCTTAGTAATAGTGATGTAACATTTCCATGCAGAGTAAATAATATTAGCATTTTTTAGCATTTCCTCCTACCTTCCTCAGATAAAGTTTTATGGAGAAGAAATAAACCTATCTTTTTGGAATTGTTATGTTTTTCTTTTGAATAAGGTTGCAAACTGAAGAGCCCCTTAAGTACAGAATCATGGGGCTGGAAGGGACCTGGGAGGTCTTCCAGTCCAATCCCCTGCTCAAGGAAGAAAGCTTATATCATCCCAGCCAAATGGTTGTCCTATTTTTGAAAACCTCCAGTGATGAAGCACACACAACTCCAGGAGGAAGCTATTCCATTGATTGATTGAATTCTGCATATAAGAAGTGATGGTCTTGCAACTATCAAAATCCCTACTCTAATTTTTGCAGTTATACAGAGTTCTAGTCTTAGAGATAATTCTTTTAATTGATATGTAATGATAATGAGAAATAGATATCCTTGAATTGAACTTGCAAGCATATTCAACACAGAGACTAATAATGAACTAGACAAGGCAATGAATTGAGTTGGGTACAGATATGGAAAGTAACTGGCAAGGAAGTACAGTTGACTTTCACAACTTCTATTCAACTCACAGTTTAGAAGGCATCAACCCACAAACTAGAAATAGGTTCATGCTGCCTCCAACATCATATGATATATGATTTAGCCTCTTTGTTAAGCATCCATGCATACAACATGAACTCCTGCTAGGAGGGAGCATTCAGTTGCTATGTGATCCAGAATCCTGTACTTTCATGAAAAGACCCCTATTATAGCTCTACCTCCCCACTAAACCATCTCTTTTATAGCTCTGCCTCCCCACTAAACCATCTCTTCTATAGCTCTGCCTCCCCACTAAACCATCTCTATAAAGATAACTAACCTACTTCTCATTATATACAAGAATGATTAAATCTGTGTTTTAAAAAAATAAAGGACTTTCCCCCTCTTTTTTGAGTTTGGAATGTGAGCTGTCACATTGTCATAATAATCCATGCTTTGGGCCATCCTTCTTTATAAGTCAATGCTTCTTGCTCCCCAAGCGTCTGGAAATATTTTTAAAAATAAGCATTTTAATATGAACATAATTAATATGATAAACATTTATCATATAAATAAGTATGAAAGATCTAGTTCCAATATATAGGCAATCCTTGACTTACAACAGTCATTGGTCATTTGGTCATTTAGTGATCATTCAAAGTTACAACGGCACGGAAAAAAGTGACTTATGACCGTTTTTCACACTTATGACCTTTGTAGCAGCCCCTTGATCATGCGATCAAAATTCAGATGTTTGGCAACTGGTTTATACTTGTGACCATTGCTGTGTCCCAAGGTCATGTGATCACCTTTTTCAACCTTCTGACAAGCAAAGTCAAGGGGGAAGCCAGATTCATTTAACAACCATGTTACTAACTTATCAACTGCAATGATTTACTTAACAACTATGGCAAGAAAGGTCATAAAATGGGGCAAAACTCACTTAACAAATGTCTCACTTAACAACAGAAATTTTGGGTTGAGTTATGGTTGTAAGTTGAGGACTACCTGTATTTATAATATGAGGCTGGGTGAAAATTTGGCCTCTAATCACAAATGAATGACAATTCTCAGTTACCTTAGCCTAAGACTAATAGTATTAGATTTGGGAATTCTAGTTTAGCAGCATCCCAACTCTGGTTTATTTTTTTGTTCATTTCTACTGTATAACAAGTCACATGTAGGTCCCAGCCTGACTCTACTGTTTCTAACAAAACGTATGAAAGAGATTTCATCTTACTGAATCTATTGATTTTAATGTGAGTTAATCTTCTGCAGTCATTCAAACTAGAAGATCTGGAATTCCAGTTCTGCACCTAATCATCATCTACTTTTCTTAATGCTCTGCTTTGCTTTCTTAGGGGTGCATGCTGTTGCGTTTTGATTGAATTGTCATTGACAGTCCTTAGGGTTATACCTCCCATCTTGTTGTGAAACATATTTAATCAGGAGATTCAACTTGAAAACGATTATCATTTGGCAGAAAAACAAACACGAAAGAACATTTTTGTAAGCGAAATGTTAATGATTGGAAGAATTGCACCAATTTCTGTTTGACAGTGTGTGATTAATCTTCTGGGTCAGGTACTTATATTTTTAGCCATTAGGTTCATTGTCCTTTGATAGTCAGAACTCTTTCTAGCCTAATAGGATATTGATTTTTTTGGATAGTGTACTTTGACTCCTTAAACAACACTCACTTTTGAAAACTGTAAACAGTGTCTAACAATTC